CAAATGAAATGATCTAAAAGTGACATATCTTTAGAAACTGATCTTAAGAAAAGCGAGGTTTGTCGTGTGTTACAAAGTGCAAATAAAGTGCATCATGTCAAAGGTTTAGATCATCAACTGTCAATCATTCTGCTGACACATGCTCGTCAAATAACACCAGAGTTTGGTTCAAAAAGAGGGCGCTTCTTTCCTGAAATTTGGGAAAATCCTCCTGAATACTTTTAAGATGGTCACACTTTGATTACACAAAAGCATTAGGATGATGACAACAGACAACTCATCTTCATCTTTAACAAACACTGAGTGGATAAAACACTGTCGCTCCTGAATCTCTGGAAGAGAATGAAGACTGTTTTTACTGATGCTACAAACATAACATCAGCCTCACAAGCACAAAGGAAAGATACACAGCATAATAAAGACAATCAGTCATGTAAATCATATATTGTCCCATTCCCTATAAAGAGCAGTTTAAAAGCTAGAATATTAAGCCTGATCCTCTACAGCGTCTCAATCTCAGGCTCCATCCTTCTCTCACTGAGAACAAGACCTGGACCTCCTGCACTAAGGTCATGGTGTAACAGGAAGTGACTTTGTGCTTCAGATTGTGCGTCGCCATCTTCAGGATCATGGAACAGGCTGAGCAGTGATCCTGCAGTGGTTGGAATACATGCTCCAGTCTCCTTCTCAAAGACACCCCCCCATGATGTGCTCCAAAGACCCCCCCCCCATGATGTGCTCCAAAGACACCCCCCCATGATGTGCTCCAAAGACACCCCCCATGATGTGCTCCAAAGACCCCCCCCCATGATGTGCTCCAAAGACACCCCCCATGATGTGCTCCAAAGACACCCCCCATGATGTGCTCCAAAGACCCCCCCCCATGATGTGCTCCAAAGACACCCCCCATGATGTGCTCCAAAGACCCCCACCCATGATGTGCTCCAAAGACACCCATGATGTGCTCCAAAGACACCCCCCCATGATGTGCTCCAAAGACACCCCCCATGATGTGCTCCAAAGACACCCCCCATGATGTGCTCCAAAGACACCCCCCATGATGTGCTCCAAAGACACCCCCCATGATGTGCTCCAAAGACACCCCCCCATGATGTGCTCCAAAGACACCCCCCATGATGTGCTCCAAAGACACCCCCCATGATGTGCTCCAAAGACACCCCCCATGATGTGCTCCAAAGACCCCCCCCATGATGTGCTCCAAAGACACCCCCCATGATGTGCTCCAAAGACCCCCCCCATGATGTGCTCCAAAGACCCCCATGATGTGCTCCAAAGACACCCCCCATGATGTGCTCCAAAGACACCCCCATGATGTGCTCCAAAGACACCCCCATGATGTGCTCCAAAGACACCCCCCCATGATGTGCTCCAAAGACACCCCCCATGATGTGCTCCAAAGACACCCCCCATGATGTGCTCCAAAGACACCCCCCATGATGTGCTCCAAAGACACCCCCCATGATGTGCTCCAAAGACACCCCCCCATGATGTGCTCCAAAGACACCCCCCATGATGTGCTCCAAAGACACCCCCCATGATGTGCTCCAAAGACACCCCCCATGATGTGCTCCAAAGACACCCCCCATGATGTGCTCCAAAGACACCCCCCATGATGTGCTCCAAAGACACCCCCCATGATGTGCTCCAAAGACACCCCCCCATGATGTGCTCCAAAGACACCCCCCATGATGTGCTCCAAAGACACCCCAGTGCTCCCCCCCATGATGTGCTCCAAAGACACCCCCATGATGTGCTCCAAAGACACCCCCCATGATGTGCTCCAAAGACACCCCCCATGATGTGCTCCAAAGACACCCCCCATGATGTGCTCCAAAGACACCCCCCATGATGTGCTCCAAAGACACCCCCCATGATGTGCTCCAAAGACACCCCCCATGATGTGCTCCAAAGACACCCCCCATGATGTGCTCCAAAGACACCCCCCATGATGTGCTCCAAAGACACCCCCCATGATGTGCTCCAAAGACACCCCCCATGATGTGCTCCAAAGACACCCCCCATGATGTGCTCCAAAGACACCCCCCATGATGTGCTCCAAAGACACCCCCCATGATGTGCTCCAAAGACACCCCCCCATGATGTGCTCCAAAGACACCCCCCCATGATGTGCTCCAAAGACACCCCCCCATGATGTGCTCCAAAGACACCCCCCATGATGTGCTCCAAAGACACCCCCCATGATGTGCTCCAAAGCCCCCCCCATGATGTGCTCCAAAGACACCCCCCCATGATGTGCTCCAAAGACACCCCCCCATGATGTGCTCCAAAGACACCCCCCCATGATGTGCTCCAAAGACACCCCCCCATGATGTGCTCCAAAGACACCCCCCCATGATGTGCTCCAAAGACACCCCCCCATGATGTGCTCCAAAGACCCCCATGATGTGCTCCAAAGACACCCCCCCATGATGTGCTCCAAAGACACCCATGATGTGCTCCAAAGACACCCCCCATGATGTGCTCCAAAGACACCCCCCCATGATGTGCTCCAAAGACACCCCCCATGATGTGCTCCAAAGACACCCCCCATGATGTGCTCCAAAGACACCCCCCATGATGTGCTCCAAAGACACCCCCCATGATGTGCTCCAAAGACCCCCCCCATGATGTGCTCCAAAGACACCCCCCCATGATGTGCTCCAAAGACACCCCCCCATGATGTGCTCCAAAGACACCCCCCCATGATGTGCTCCAAAGACACCCCCCATGATGTGCTCCAAAGGCACTGGCCCTGATCGTCCACACCATCCAGAGCAAGGCTGTCAAAGCTGTTCTCAAACGACCAGTGAGGCTAAAGCAACAAAACACCAGACTCAAGAGTTCAGTCTTAACTCCCGCTCGGTTGGAATGAAAACCTGCAGCCACACAGGCCTTTTGACGACTGCTTTGACATCTCTGCTCTAGAGACTGAAGATAGTCAGGACAGATCTCATCCACTCCCAGGTTCCTGCACCGAGGAGGTCACCAACGACCTCTGACCTCAGCCAGAGAGATGGAGGTATCCGTCCCAATACAATACAATACAATACAATGTATTGTTGTATAGCCCTAGGTCACAACAGCATCATCTCAGAGACTTAACAAAACCATTGAAATCACCAACACAGGTCAGAGGTCAACAGTTAAAACACATGAAGAATATAAAGCACACACAGAAGAAAATGTCCATACATGTTGTAGAATGCTAAAGTGTCCTGATCATCACCAATCCTTTCTGTTGGACACTAACTGTCCAACAAGACCCTCCTGCATCGACAAGGAAAAACTCTTAAAAAACCCAGTGGGAAAAAGTGAGAAACCTTGGGGAGAACTAGGGAAACCCACAGGGAGGGAGACCCACAGGGAGGGAGACCCACAGGGAGGGAGACCCACAGGGAGGGAGACCCACAGGGAGGGAAACCCACAGGGAGGGAGACCCATATGAGAAAGGGATCCGCTCCTCCGGACGGACAGGCTAATGATCCAGGACCTAAGCTAGCTACAGGACCTAAGCTAGCTACAGGACCTAAGCTAGCTACAGGACCTAAGCTAGCTACAGGACCTAAGCTAGCTACAGGACCTAAGCTAGCTACAGGACCTAAGCTAGCTACAGAACGTGGACCAGTGGCCGCTGAACGTGGACAGGTCCGGTGCAGGACTGAAGCACTCCCAGGCGGGTCGGGCGGGGCAGTCCGCAGGTGTAGATGGAAGAGGCCAGGCTCAGAGATCCCGTCATCGTACCATGAAACAGACAATGGGACAACGGGTGAATAGCAATGAACAAACTACAGTCAAAATCCTAAAAATGCTAAACAGATAAAGTAGGAAGGAGGAGAGGATAGTGCAGTTACCATACTTCTCCAGCAGGGGGCGCCCTATGCAGCTTGACTGACAGTCTGAGGAGTTTAGCCTTCCCTGAGTCTTACCTTCCTAGCCATATGCTAAACTAAAGAGGACTGTTTTAAACCTAGCCTTGAATAAAGAGATTCATGGACTGCACACCAGGTGTGCAAACCGATCCAAGCAAACCTAATTATATATTATATACATCATATATACCATACATACCATATATATCATATAAAATACATAACATAACATACAGCATAATATATAACATAATATATAACATAATATATAACATAATACAGCGTATATATAATATATACACCATATATTATATATGACCTAATTATATGTTAAATTAAAGTAGAGTGTTTTAAGCCTGGCCTGACAATGACGTCCAAGCATCCTTCATATGCTGCTGACGGCTGCATATGAAAGCTTCAGAGTACACTTCAGAGTACACTTCAGAGTACACTTCAGAGTACACTTCAGAGTACACTTCAGAGTACACTTCAGAGTACACTTCAGAGTACACTTCAGAGTACACTTCAGAGTACACTTCAGAGTAAACTGAACATAATGCACTGGACTGAAGATCAGTTAGACCCAGATCATCTAACACAAGTACAAATACTACACTGAGAATGTTCTTAACATCTAACACAAGTACAAATACTACACTGAGATGAACTTAACATCTGTTAAAACACAAAGGAAGTTCTCAATGATCCATTTCAAGTAGAAGCATGTACTTGAATGTGACACAATCAAAGAATACCTAAAACAGTTTGAGCAACATTTAGTATCATTGCAACATCAGAAACATGTTTCATGAGGATAGAGTTAAACAATTATACTTTATACGTATGTGAGGGACAGGAGGCCCCTGGACTCTGTGGAGGAGGTGAGGGACAGGAGGCCCCTGGACTCTGTGGAGGAGGTGAGGGACAGGAGGCCCCTGGACTCTGTGGAGGAGGTGAGGGACAGGAGGCCCCTGGACTCTGTGGAGGAGGTGAGGGACAGGAGGCCCCTGGACTCTGTGGAGGAGGTGAGGGACAGGAGGCCCCTGGACTCTGTGGAGGAGGTGAGGGACAGGAGGCCCCTGGACTCTGTGGAGGAGGTGAGGGACAGGAGGCCCCTGGACTCTGTGGAGGAGGTGAGGGACAGGAGGCCCCTGGACTCTGTGGAGGAGGTGAGGGACAGGAGGCCCCTGGACTCTGTGGAGGAGGTGAGGGACAGGAGGCCCCTGGACTCTGTGGAGGAGGTGAGGGACAGGAGGCCCCTGGACTCTGTGGAGGAGGTGAGGGACAGGAGGCCCCTGGACTCTGTGGAGGAGGTGAGGGACAGGAGGCCCCTGGACTCTGTGGAGGAGGTGAGGGACAGGAGGCCCCTGGACTCTGTGGAGGAGGTGAGGGACAGGAGGTGCTATAAAGTCACCTCCATCATGAACAACACCTCCCACTGCACAGGACTGAGGAGGAGCTGAGGTGCTCCTTCAGTGGAAGCCTGAGCAGGGCCTTTATCCCCACCACTGTCAGACTGTACAACAAGTCACTTTAAGTCACTGTATAAGACTGAAAAACCTGCACTTTTATTGACACTGTTTCTGATTGTCACTTTTTTATGAACATAATAAATCCTGCATTTAACATGTTTCCTCTCTTTTCTGATAGTGTTTCTATCTATGTCTATGTCTATGTCTATGTCTATGTCTATGTTTCTATCTATGTCTATGTCTATGTCTATGTTTATGTCTATGTCTATGTCTATGTCTATGTCTATGTCTATGTCTATGTCTATGTTTCTATCTATGTCTATGTCTATGTCTATGTCTATGTCTATGTTTCTATCTATGTCTATGTCTATGTCTATGTCTATGTCTATGTCTATGTCTATGTCTATGTTTCTATCTATGTCTATGTCTATGTCTATGTCTATGTCTATGTCTATGTCTATGGCTATGTCTATGTCTATGTCTATGTCTATGTCTATGTCTATGTCTATGTCTATGTCTATGTCTATGTCTATGTCTATGTCTATGGCTATGTCTATGTCTATGTCTATGTCTATGGCTATGTCTATGTCTATGTTTCTATCTATGTCTATGTCTATGTCTATGTCTATGTCTATGGCTATGTCTATGTCTATGTCTATGTCTATGTCTATGTCTATGTCTATGTTTCTATCTATGTCTATGTCTATGTCTATGTCTATGTCTATGTCTATGGCTATGTCTATAGCTATGTCTATGTCTATGTCTATGGCTATGTCTATGTCTATGTCTATGTCTATGGCTATGTCTATGTCTATGTCTATGTCTATGTCTATGTCTATGTCTATAGCTATGTCTATGTCTATGTCTATGTCTATGTCTATGTCTATGTCTATGTCTATGTCTATGTCTATGTCTATGTCTATGTCTATGTCTATAGCTATGTCTATGTCTATGTCTATGTCTATGTCTATGTCTATGTTTATGTCTATGTCTATGTCTATGTCTATGTCTATGTCTATGTCTATGTCTATGTCTATGTTTCTATCTATGTCTATGTCTATGTCTATGTCTATGTCTATGTCTATGTTTCTATCTATGTCTATGTCTATGTCTATGTCTATGTCTATGTCTATGTCTATGGCTATAGCTATGTCTATGTCTATGTCTATGTCTATGTCTATGTCTATGTCTATGTCTATGTCTATGGCTATAGCTATGTCTATGTCTATGTCTATGTCTATGTCTATGTCTATGTCTATGTCTATGTTTATGTCTATGTCGTGATCCATCAGTACCTCTGAGCTGCAGCAGGAGGCGGCAATGCGAAAAACTCACGACACCGCTATAAAAATAAAAATAAATCATTTTTTAATTTCATTTTGTTTGTATATACAAATGTTTTGTGAATGTATGTTTTCATAAAACTCACTAATTTAAACATACTACCTGAAAAATACTCAACCGGAACAGGAAGTAGCCGTGTTTACATCGCGAGTGCACGGAAGCTAAAGCTAACGAAGCTAAACCGCATATAACACAATCTAGCATCTTTCCACAGATCAGAGGTCTCTTCCCGGGCTCCATCTGCACAGATCAGAGGTCTCTTCCCGGGCTCCATCCGCACAGATCAGAGGTCTCTTCCCGGGCTCCATCTGCACAGATCAGAGGTCTCTTCCCGGGCTCCATCCGCACAGATCAGAGGTCTCTTCCCGGGCTCCATCTGCACAGATCAGAGGTCTCTTCCCGGGCTCCATCTGCACAGATCAGAGGTCTCTTCCCGGGCTCCATCTGCACAGATCAGAGGTCTCTTCCCGGGCTCCATCCGCACAGATCAGAGGTCTCTTCCCGGGCTCCATCTGCACAGATCAGGGGTCTCTTCCCGGGCTCCATCCGCACAGCATCAGAGGTCTCTTCCCGGGCTCCATCTGCACAGATCAGAGGTCTCTTCCCGGGCTCCATCTGCACAGATCAGAGGTCTCTTCCCGGGCTCCATCTGCACAGATCAGGGGTCTCTTCCCGGGCTCCATCTGCACAGATCAGAGGTCTCTTCCCGGGCTCCATCTGCACAGATCAGGGGTCTCTTCCCGGGCTCCATCTGCACAGATCAGGGGTCTCTTCCCGGGCTCCATCCGCACAGA